TAACATAAGAAACATGATAAAGTACGAGAAGGAATATATGATTTCTTCATTCCAGAAAATTCAGCTGCAAAAGACCTGTTATATTAAAAATAACAAAGTCACTTATATAAAAATAAGAAGCCACGTAGCCTCAAAGAAAAAAAAAATAAGAGAAATACTGAAATGTATCTCAAATAATTATTTTCACTTGCAAGGAATGCAAAAAGATGACACTGCGAGCTCCATCCAGTGCCAGGCTCATGCTCTGCCCAGGAGAGTGGAGTAGCTGGCACTGCACCTGCATCCTGCTGCCCTTCCTCATCCTCCCTGCAGAAATGCAGCCACCCCTCACTCATGCAAGGTACAGGCACTTCCCTCATCCCAGAGCAGCAGAGGTACTTTATAAAATCTCTTATTAGATGCCTACATGCCTGAAATCTGACATGCAGTGCACCACCTTTTCCTTTTTGCTCATGAAGCAAACCTTCAGGAAAATTCTTGAAATGCCTCAGTTTTTATCCTGCACTACACCAAAGCTCTGGACAGAGTGCTCTAGAAGACAATGGGTATTTTTTGGGAATCATTATTTCTGCATTTCAAAAACTGCATGTGTTACCTCTGGCCCAGTCCAATTCCCACAGCTCCAGGGGGAGCTAACCTGCAAAAAGCAGGCCTGAAAAAATCCAGCATAAAATACTGCTGGCTCTCAGCAAAGAGTCAATTTAACACTTTTACCAAGTGTGTAACTTTCCCAGCACTGGTGCCATTTCCCTGCAAACAGATGCAAACTCTTGGGCTGTGGCAGATGCAGTGCAGTGCACCCTCTGCAGGTGCCAGCCAAGGAGAAGAGATGGGGTTTTCCTTTTTCAGAGGGGATAACTCTGCAATGAGAGCTCTTGCAAAGAGCTGTAATGATGACTGCAAGGATTCTTTGCTTTGTTTTTAAATTGCAGGCTCAAACAACAGCTAACATCCAATTATCTTTGCTGGGAGTAGTGGCATCCCAAATGTGCTGTATTGCTCTTAATTTATACCTTACATGCCTTGTAACTCATAGGAGGTACAGATTTAGTAAAAGGATGGGGGTTATATTATTATTATGTCTAATCACACCTTTCCACTTCCAAATTTCTTGTTCTCCACCCATATTCCACAAAATATTTATTCAAACACATGAAAATTAGTCAAGTTTGGACTTTTGGCTGACTAGAGATTGATACTTTCTGATGTGAATAGAGATTATCTCCAGCTTATTTGGCACTGATGTCAAAAGAATGTGCAAAGAGAAAGATGTAAAGAGAGGAGAAAAATGTAGGCAGGAGAGATCTGTGTCTGGAATAGGGAAAGGGGACATCTACTAATTTAGTTTTCCTGCATAATTTGTGCGTTATTCCCCGAGTACAATTTTAAATACATTTGTAGAGCACAGAGATCATTTTCATCCAGACAGAAACAGTTTGAGAAATGACCTCAGATTCTGTGGGGGAAAATTCCTGCTTACAATTTCCTTAATTGATTGTATTTTCATCTGTAGATGCAAATACATTAGGGCTATTTCTTTTTCATCACAGCTTTCTCTATTATTGTTGTTGTTTGGTGTTTGGAATATTCCTCCTGGGAGGGCAGACCAAGCCGGAGCGTGCTGCCGTGGCATCGGGTGATTAACCAGAAGTTCTGGGACGGAGACTTTCAAACCCCTCTTTGTCCCTGTAGTGACACAAGTCTCTGGAGGAGTGTCTGGCCCAGGGGACCAAGCTGTGTGCTGCAGATTTCTTCACCAGGCAGCACAACTCACCGAGCAGCTCTGAGCTGCAGGTCACTCACTCACCCAGAGCCTGAGCCGCGTTATCAAACCCACAGCATCGCAAGGGGAGCAGGCAGGGCCTTCCAACCCCTCACAGAGCTCCTTCCAGAGGTGTAGGAGATGCTGCATGGAGTCATACATGTGTTTTTAAAGCCCTGGCATGGGTCTCAAATCCCACCTTCCGTGGGTTTAGGCCATCATTATCCAATAGCAATTCCCTCATTGCTGTATGAAATAATAGCAGTTGCTCATCTCTCTGTATTGCACTCAGAACATTGCTGCTTTTAAACACACCAGCATTTTATTTTGTTAGGGTTTTGGGTTTTTTTGTTTTGTTTTTCTTTTTCTAAGCTTTCAAAGCAAAGCAGAGAGTTCATTTTTCTCTGTTACCACTGACAGCTTGCAAGTTGCTGTTCCTGGAGTATTTCATAAAGGCTACAGATATGCTCTCCAAACAATATTGTAAAAGCTAAGAACAGGAAAACAGGAACAGAAGCAGTGGGGCTCTTGAGACACTAAACTCCTTCAGGTTCTAGGAAATAAAACTGGGTTTACCCTAGTCCTGTGCTTTCTTCCTGGACTGCTCAGAAGGTGCTCATACTATCTCAAAGTGGGTGCTCAGAAGCTGTTGAGACACAGCAAATCAAAACACAATCACCACCTGACAGCACAGGGCATCCCAGCCAGTGGAGAAAACCCACATAATAAATCTCCTGGTTCAAATCCTGTAAATTTTGTGTGCTAGCAACATTTGAATGGATGGAAAGAGATTCTTCTACAATAGAACTGAGGTACAGGAGCTGTCAGGAACATTTTCTCTGCCAAACCCTCCCATGGCTTAGATGGTGTAATAACAGACTGCACAATTTGGATTAACTATGGATTTTCAGAAAAGCCAGGATGAACTCAGGTTTAGGCAGAGCTTTCATCCATTTGATCATACAGAAACCACTCCCAGCTGCTGGGATCACTGAAACCAGAGTGGCTTACAACTATCCTTGGGTAGTGGGAAACTCTTTGTACCAAGTGCTTCCCCTTACCTGCCCATTATTGTAGAAAGGTGCGATAGAAGAAAAAAAATTAAAAAAAAATAAAAATAAAATAAATTAAAAAAACAATTCAGCAAAATCCAAAGACAGATTACTAGCTCCTCTCACCTCTACTGCTGAACTGAACTGCTGGAGAACTTCTGCCACTGACATAGGAAGTCTCAGGACAAAATCAGAGCATTCAACAGTAGCACCTGCACATGTCTTCAGCAAGCTCATTAAAACCACCCAAAAAAAAGCATTTGGTATGAAGTTCTCGAAAACAGAGCAAATCAGAGTGAGCCTCTGCTACAGCATATGCTGCCTGCCCCCTTTTACACACAAAATATGGGAAGAGGAATGTTTTTTCTTCATAGCACTAATAGAAGCCACCACAAAAAGCATATTCCAGGAGAATGAAACCCAATGTTTTATCTCAGGAATTAACAGTTTTATTTGACAGTAACATTACTGAAATTTTTTTCTTTGGCCAAACAAGCATTTGTACAATTTTTTCTACTTGAAAACTGTATTTTTTTTTCTGTTTCCTAGCAGGGAGATTAGACTTGTGAATGTCAAACAGAGGAAGAAGATGTGTCACCAAACACATCCACAGAGCCACATGTAAACACACACACACAGATCCCCTGCAGAAAAGATGGAGAGGCAGGATCTGCCATGCTCCATCAGAGGCTGGCACAGTGCCCACCTTCTCCTGCCCAAAACCATGAGAAAACAAGAATTACCATGTGAAACACTGGAAAAAAGTTCCTAGTCAGAGTCACACCTGACCTCAGCTTCAAAATCAATTTTTCATCAATACTTAGTAGATGAACAAGGACTGGAGCCTTCAGGTTCTCATTATTTCAAAGTGCTCACAGCACTAAAAATTATTAAATATACATCCTAAGTGAGGTCAAGTGGGGAAGACTCTGCTCATAACTTCTCTTTTCCTGCTGTCCATCAATGGAACACCTAAAGGATCAGTTCCAGCTGTACTTTAACTAAAACTCATAATAAACATACAGGATGCAATGAAGCTACCTGCTAATTTCTTATCTAATATGGATCTTTCCCTCCAGCTTCTCACAGGTTGCTGCTGAGGTCCACATCTTCACAGTTCTCCAAAATAAACCTAACACTCATACTGACAGTGTAAATTATGGGCTAAATAAAAATACCAGTGTGTGAGAGAGAGAGAGAAATATTTCAGTGATGAGTGCTAAAGAAAAGCAAATCATTATTCTATGTAACACAGATATAAACCATGTATATATTGTGCTATACCTGAGCAGAATAACATGAAAAAGGGAGATTTAATTAGAATGAAATCAATCCAGATCCACAACTGTATGATTTCACCAGATAAAAAACCAGAATAATTACCAGCTAAGTGGCCTATGTAGGAATTTTCTGTACAGTTATTACATATATTTATATTATCATTACATATATGTTCAGGGGAGTCAAGATGCACTGTCTTTCCTTTTGAAATAAATAGATGTAACCCCTCTGCAGATCAGGATGATGCCCTGGGATGCATTGCCTCTCTCATCCTGTGGAAGTACTGCTTTTATCTCACCACAGTCAGACACAAAACTTGGAGCTGAAGTGATACCATATAGTGATAGAAACCCAAATACCGATGCTTTAAAGCTAAAACACAGACTCCTTCCATTGACACCCTTTAATACAGTGCGTTGAAATAAAACCATAGCTCATTTCAGAACCCTACCTGCACTAATTTAAGCAGTCATAGCCTGTTTCAGAGCTGTATCTGCACTAAAAAAGAAGTTTACCAAAGAGCATGTCAAGTTTCTTATGCACATCTGTTGCAACAAATGTTTCGCGGTGAGTCGCGTCTGAAGAACCACAGCATTTCTGTGAAAAATTAAACTCCTAAGAAGGAAATTACACATTTACAATTTTAATCACATTATTCATTATTATTCATCATTCCCTCTTCCTCTTCACAATTAAACTGTTCAAATTTCTCTTTCTTCCCACCTCAGGATTTTTGACTGCAAAATCTCCACGGTAAGATTTGTTTCCAAGAAAACAGCGTATTCTGCTTTCCAGAATCTGCATCTGAGGACAACTCAGCTGTGATTTCCCAGCCCATCTGAAGCACAGCTTAACTAATTATTCTATCTGAAACTAAGTTGGAGTACTGAGCAGATTTCTCTTACCTGTTTGTGAGCATGATCATAAGAGTTAATGTGATTGTCAAACTCCTGGTGTTTATAGTACTGCTTGTCACAGAGTTCACAGTAGAAGTTGGCTTTAAGATCTTCCAGAGCTTTTGCTATCGTGTTTTTCTTTTCAGCATAATCCTGGAGGGGGGCAGGAAAAAGTAATTTTAGTTTTGCCTTTGATGCTGAGAATGGATTTTGTGCTCTGCAGTTAATCATATTTGTAAACATTTACATACCTCTGTAACTAAAAGCCTGCCCATATTTGCTGTGTTACACTGCACATATTTACTGGATCTGCTGCTAGGCTGAAGATTTGCACACTTCAGTTTGCTATACAGTTGCCAGCTCCCCTTCAGGGCTCTGTCAGAGGCTAGGATTTCCCTGGGTTCCGTTTAAATACCAATATTTATCATGCTGAAGGCTATTTTCAAGTTCATTTTGATCCAAGCCTCGCTCCTCAGTAATATACTCAGGCACAATAAGCATGAAGGTACAAATGGCAATTATTTAGCTATAAGGCTTTTACAAGAAAGTTTGCTTACTAAAAAAAACCAAAACAAAACACCAAAACAAAAAACCCCACAAATTTAAAGAAACCACTAGGTGCCTGTAGATATGAAACATGAGGAACATTTTCACAGCTTAGACGTAATTAATATCTTCATCACTTTGTGCTTGTCATCCCATATCAGGACACACCCATCTCTGCTTACCATACATTAACCAATGCATCACATACAACTCTGCTTATCATTTATGAAAAATTTACATACAAGACTCTTTAATCCCCTAAATACACTGATGGCAATGTGGCCTGTTGTGAAAGAGCATGGAAATGGTCTGTCATGTCAGATTAGTGTAACACCAGTTAAACACTGAACATGGATAACCTCAGTGCAGTGGCTCCTGCTTTTGACAAGTCTGGGATAGAATCTCAGTCCAAAATCCCAAACGTGTCAAATATTGCTTAACAAAATAAACCCCTGGGATTTGTTTCTCAGAGCTTACTCACTGTGAGTTCTTTGGTTCAGGCAGATTAAGATAAAAGGTAATATTGTAATCAGAACATCCAAAACTGAGTTAATTGGGAGAAAAAGACTGTATTTCCTTGTAGTTTTCACAGCTGGCGACTCATATACTTCCAATATATTTTGGGGACTTTAAAATGGAAAATTTATGTTATCAGATTAGAATACATTCATAACAGTGTTGTTTATTCTCAGGAGAGAGGAACAGTAGTCATAAAATTAAAATTATATCCAGAAAGTAGTTATTATTTAAAGTAGCACTTTAACTACACTTCAGCATGATTGGACTGCTAGCAAACACTGTTGATTCATACCCAAACTGAAGTACTCCCTCACCAAAATTTTGTCCATTAATAGAATTACACAAGTCACTTCAGAGTGGTGTTTTGAATATTGGCTGACACATGACAAATTCACAGATTCCTAACACTTTTCTACAGTGATATTTCATAAAATCTGTTCCATTTAAATCCAAAGTGAGTTAGCATTTTATTTCAAGAAACAGCAGTACTTCACACTTGAAAATACATTTATGCACTGTGGAAATTTCACCTGGAAACTCTGCACTTAGCTCTTGGTACCAACTAGTAAAGATTACAGGTTTTAAACCACTTCAGGTATTACCATGATGCCAGCAGTGGAAATAGCATGAAGACCCAAAGGAGTGTTTCCCTTGAAACACTTTAAAAATAAATCCTGTAATCTACAAAGAGAGGACACCTAATTTGGGTTTATTAAAACATGAAAAAGAAAGATCTGAATTTAGGGGAATTACTGGAACTCTGGAATACTACTGAACATCATATATTTATATATATATATATATAAAAAATAAATAAGGAGACACCATGTGATGGTTCCTAAGACAAGAACAGTGAATTAAATAATAATTTTTCATAACGATCTTTTTAACCCTCAAGGAAACTTTTGTAAGATTTACTAATGTTGTGAAATACCCTGAATAAAGTTATGTAACTTCACTGCTGGTGTCCTTGACACAAAGCACCATTTTTGAAACAATATACTTTTTTCCTAGCAAAACCTAACCTGAATGCAATTAGATTTGGCATGCCAATGCATATTAATGAGGCAGGGACAATGGAACTCCATGGAAAACTTTACTGCAAAGAATATCAAGGTTTCTATCACTAAATTCCTTCAGCTGGGGTTTTTTTTGGGGGTTAAATTTACATTACAATAGTACATCACAGTTTCAAAGGTAAGTAAAGAATGGCAACACATCTAAATTAAATGGAAGTAGATGGGATGGAATACAATAAAGGGGCTCAACCATGCATGGAGAAGGGACCTGTAAATGACAAGAACCAGAACTGTTTGACCTTGGGAACATGTAAATGGCTGTACTGGTTCAACCTTTTAAACCTGTGCAAGATTTTGGTCTGTACAACTAAGGAAAGTGTTAACTAAGCACCATTCCCTTTGCTTTGCACCTGTATTCTGCTGGTTTCAGCTGCTGCATTTTGGAAAAGGCCATAAATACAGACCTTTTATTCCCTTTGACTGGGTCACTGTTAAGTCCATGTACCCCTACCACACCTTCTCTCAGGTATTGCTCCCTGAGTGACACAGTTCTGGTTTATTCATGCATTCCTTACACCAAGGCCACTCATCACCTCTGCTTACTCTTTCCATGGTCTCCAAAAGAAGATCTAAGAACATGCAACACCACAGTGCCATGCACAAATCCATTTAGAGTCTCTGTTTTCTACCCTCTCCTTTTCAGGTTTTTTGTTAAAAATCATGATGCAGCACTAAACTAACACTTTTGTACAACTCCTTTATCACCCTTTGCTGCTGTACAATATTTTGCTGGCAGATGTTTCCATGCAGCTACGAAACTTCATCCAACCTAAAACAATTTCCCATTTCTCCAGGGGCAGCAGCCACTCAAGACAAACCTCAAGACTTCAGCCTCATGTATTTCACATGCACACACACACAAAACCCCTTAAGGACGTGTCCAGGATTAGAGGATGGTGTCCAGGAGGTTCTCTGTCACCCTGGGATCCCCTGGGCTGGGTTGGGACTGAGTCACCTGCTCCTGCTGCTGGTTGGCACTGGGAATGGGGAAAGTCTGATTCCAAGGGTGAGCAGAGACTGGAAAAGGAGCAGAGGCTGCTGTTCTCTGCCTGCTGGGCTCTTACAATCGATTCTGCCTTGGCAGAGGAGCCTTCCCCTAGCCCTGTCCGTGCTGATGAGGGATAACTGCCCAAAAACTGACAGGAAAAAATTGCAGTCCCTGGCCCGTGAGAGCAGTGGGCAACAGACTGCATACAGAAATAACCTGGACACTTCCTGGAGAGGAATATTCCTGGAGAAAAGTAGCAGCCAAGAAACTCACTTAAACTGGTTAAATACCATCAAGCTTGGTTTCATTTTCATCAAGATTTGCAGGCCATCCTGGAAGTTTTAAAAGAACTTTGAATTATGATTCAGCCTGGTAATAAAACTCAGAACTGAGTGTCACTTAGTTTCATTGTATTTTTCCTGAAAGGCATATTATCTGAAAGCCTAGAGCTATAATTCACTGTAGCTATTTTTCATAATTTATATGAAAGATCTCTAATAAGTGATCCCATCTATCAGCTAGCTTTATTTCTCTAAATCCATCTTCTCCATCCTCCCAAGCCTTAAGCCTGTGCAAATGCTACTGCAAACATCTGATAAATTGGATTAAAAGCAGGCTTTATTCACAAAGGGGCTGTCACAAACCAGACTGGACTTTGTGCTCCCGTTACAGGAGAGAGAGAGACACAAAGGCAAACCACAGCAGTGCTGAACTCATTGCACAGATAACTTTGGAGAGCTCACTGGATGCCTCAGCCAAGGGGATATTTTTATGGCATGCACTTCAAGCTTATACTATCTGCAGAAAGGTCAGCTAGCCCAAAAAAAAAAAGGAAGAAAATGAAATTGTAATACATTATCTATTCCACGGTGATTACTAGTGTGAATATTCTTACTTTACAATAAATGTGAGCTCCTTTTATTGCAGTAAGCTATTCTGCATTTACTGTAGACTTAAAAGGGTCAGGCCTGCAGTCACTGCAAAGCAAAGCGTATTACAGAAATAAACCCCTTCTTCAGGATAATTTACTGGTATAGTCATCCCAGAGAGGATTAAACTGCTCTGGTCTGATCCTCTGGATTAGCGCCCATTAGACCTGACAGATGTTCCACTGTAACCTTGTTTCACAGGAAAAAATATTTAAAGCATTTTTTTTTTTTCTGTTGCAATAACTAAAACTAAAAAGCAAAATTGTATTTTAGACATTTCCAAAAAAAAAAAAAAATCAAACTAATACTCTTGATTTGGCAAAACTCCCATTAGCTATATTTATATAAAAAAAAGCCTAAAAATATATTTTTACAAAAAAATAAAAAAAAATCAGTCACAACTTAAGAGCACATTTCGCTATAGTTAATTAACTGTGACATCCATGAGCACAATTAACAAAGGATTCCTTAATTTCTGGTATATTTTCTTGGTGTTATAAAGACAGCACAAGGAATCAGGTTTCCTGGAATAAAATGTACAACTTACTAACATCTCCTATCAATCTTGGTATTAGTATATAGAATTTTTTTAGTATCTTTGCATAGCACTTTTTTTTCCTCGTGCAAGCAGTCTATACATCATCCACTAATGAACTTGAAGAAATAAATTAAAAAAATAGAATACATTAATAATATTAGTACAGTCTGGTAACAAATCTAATTATTTATAAGGTTCCTGTCCTTATCAAGGCAGGGAGACCAGAGCAAAAGGTGGTTAAATACGTGGATCAAATTACTCATTGATCCTGCCAAATTCATTTCCAAGCAGTGCAGAGGGAGTTTCAGTGAGGAGACTGACAGCTGACTGGGAAAATAGCTACCAAGAAAATTGTTGGGTCTTTCTGATTACCTTACCTGAAGCTTCCCCATTAGTTGTAGGAGGTGATAACTACAACTCACAAGGCCACAAACACTATTTCCTTGATCCCTCCTGACATTCTCCTTTTGGGCAGAGGTGTTTCCAGCAGTGACCCCACTTTTTCACTGCACTGGATGGGGATGGGCCCAAAAAGGAGAGGTATCCCATACTAATTCAACACTGGAGGCTGAAAAAAACCCACACTACCTTTATTTTTTTCTTCCAGACTACCTGCAGACAGCCAGTTCCTACCAAAACACTTATTACATACAGGAGAGCTAATCA